GTTGAGCTATAGGCGCCGAGCCAGAATTTGGGGTTTTTTTGTTTTTGTTTTTTTGAGACAGAGTCTCACTATGTCACCCTCCGTAGAGTGCTGTGGCATCACAGCTCACAGCAACCTTAAACTCTTAGGTCCATGTGATTCGCTTGCTTCAGCCTCCCAAGTAGCTGGGACTACAGGCACCCACCATAATGCCCGGCTGTTTTTTTGTTGTTGTTTTGCAGTTTGGTCAGGGCCGGGTTTGAACCTGCCACCTTCGGTATATGGGGCCAGTGCCCTACTCACTGAGCCACAGACGCTGCCCAGCAGGGAATATCTTAAGCTAATGTTTTGTTTTGTAGTGTTTTGAGATGGATCTCTCTCTGTCACCCAGGCTAGAATGCAGTGGTACCATCATAATTCACTACAGGCTCGAACTCCTGGGTTCAAGTTATCCTCCCACCTCAGCCTTCCCAGGAGCTGGAACATGCCCAGCTAATTTTTCTATTTTTTGTAGAGACAGGGTCTTGCTATGTTGCCCAAGCTAGTCTCAAACACTCAAGTGATCCTCTCACCTCAGCCTTCTGAGTTGCTGGGATTAAGGTGTGAGCCACTGTGCCTGGCCATAATGTACAATTTTTAAAAGGTCTCCATGTGGCTCAGCACCTGTGGCTCAAGTGGCTAAGGCGCCAGCCATATACACCTGAGCTGGTGGGTTCAAATCCAGCCTGGGCTCGTCAAACAACAATGATGACTGCAACCAAAACATAGCCCGGCATTCTGGCAGTCACCTGTAGTCCCAGCTACTTGGGAGGCAAAGACAGGAGACTTGCTTGGGCCTAGGAGTTGGGAGTTGCTGTGAGCTGTGATGCCACAGCACTCTACCCAGGGTGAAGGTTCTGTCTCAAAATAAATAAATAAATAAATAAATAAAAGGTCTCCATGGACAAGGTCTTCTTTTGGGGTGATGAAAATGTTCTGAAACTAGTTAGAGGTGATAGTTACACATCATGAGTATGGCTAAATGCCCCTGAACTGTTCAGTCTATAATCATTAATTTTATATAATGTGAATTCCGCCTCAAATTTTTTTTTTTTTTGGAGACAGAGCCTCAAGGTGTCACTCTGGGTAGAGTGTCGTGGCATCACTGCTCACAGCAACCTCCAACTCCTGGACTTAAGCGATTCTCTTGCCTCAGCCTCCCAAGTAGCTGGGACCACAGGCGTCCGCCACAATGTCCGGCTATTTTTTGGTTGCAGCCATTATTATTGTTTGGAGGGCCCGGGCTGGATTTGAACCCGCCAGCTCAGGTGTATGTGGCTGGCAGCTTAGCCACAGGCGCCGAGCCTCCACCTCAATTTTTAAAAGAAGTCTCCATGGCTGGAGGCTGGAGGATGAAGTCTAGGTAGCAAGTGGTCCTGTGGGGACTGCTGCAGGAGTCCAAGTAAGAGATGATGGAGGCTACACAGTAGGGGGATGTAGAGAATGGGAATATTTGAGAGACCACAGCTGAGGGGGGGGCAGGCAGAGTGAGCAAGAGGAGGTGTTAGAGCCCAGTCCTAGGCTTGTAGCCCTAGCAATTGGTGGGTGGGTTAGTAGTTGACCAGGCTGGGAAAGTCAGGGATGAAAACTGAAGCTTCACTAAAGCGCCTTTGCAAACTTCAGTGTCTCAGAGACACTGGGGATCTTTGACATCTATTTGCAGATCCTTTGCACAAAAGAGTAAATGGAACCCAAAAGGCAGGGCTGATGCAGCTTGGCAGCCTAGACACCAACTTGCCACTCACCAGCCCTGTGTTGTCTGTCCACTGGAAATCCCTCTCCACAATCCTGTCATTCAGGCCAATCCAAGTGTTTTCATGCCCAAAACCTGCAGAATGAGGGATTGTGAGGGTTGCTCATATGTCTGTCTCTCTCCCAGCATGAGGCATGGGCTGGAAGTGAGGAAGGGGAGTGGGAAGTGAGGACTCAGCCACTCCCACCCCCCAATCCCCAGCTTGGAGGTGGTGGAGAGAGAGCTTGGAGGTGGGAATGAAGGGAGGAAGGAGGGAATGGAGATGGGGAGGACCCAGAACCCCTCCCTCTACCTCCACGCTGGGGAGCGGAGAACCCAGGAGGTAGGGAGGCAGGGAAGGTGATAGAGGTAGGCAGAGTACCCAGAGCCTCTCAGAACCTTGGGTAGGAGGTGGAGAGGGGAAGGGTAGAATGGAGGGGGGAGGCCATGAGCCCCTCTCCCAGCCTCTGGCCTCTGCACAGACAGGAGTCCTCACCCCCAACCGCCAGCAGGTGGACCCTGGCTCCCTTCTTACAGGGAGGAGAACAGGCAGGCAAATGGCTGGAATTAGGCCGCGGCCTTGCCATGACATGTGGCCAGCAGAGAAAGGAATAAACAAAGACATGATCACATCATTGCAGAAATGAGAGGGCAAGAGACAGAAGACCCCAGAGGCAGGCAGGCAGGAGAGAATGAGAGAGCAAGCCAGTTACTCAGGAGGAGCAGGTGACAGGGTAGAGTACATTGAAGAAAAAGAAACAAGAGAACCAGGGAATGAGAAAACAAAAGAATCCATGGGGGGAAAGACAGGGGCAAATGTGAATAAATGGATGGATGAAAAAATGGCAGAAGGAATAAATCAATAAATGCCAGATTTAGTGAATGTGACACTCATCTCTCCCCCTCGGTCTCTGTAAAATTCATTCCTCATTATATCCCACACGTCACAGATGCTTCCCCCATCCCCCTCTATCCTCTGGCCCTATTTTGTTATTGGAACACATAGGACCTATTAAATTATAGTATAAACTTATTTGGTTAGATATTTACTTGTTTGCCTATATTTTACTGAATATAGGCACTCCCTGGGGACACAGCAAAGTCCCTTTGGCTCACTGCTGTGTTGCAGCGCTTGAATTGGTGCCTGCACATAGCCAGTGCTCAGTAAATATTCAGTGAATGAATGAATGAGGTGAATGTATAAATGAACAAATGAATCAACAGATGCATGAATTAAGAAACATGGCTTGCATTAATGAACTCAGCTTTGGAAAGGTGGCATCGGCAGAGCATGCCACGGCAAAGGGACTGTAAGTGCCACCCCTCCTGCCATGTTGGCTGGTGATACCCACCCTCCCAGAGTGCCTACTGTTAATGAAGCTGTGCTCCTCAGGTGAGTGGATGCTGGTCAGATGGCCAGCTCGACGGCGGCAGTCCCTCTCGGCGTCCTCCCATGCCCGCCGGTGGGCAAAATACCGGTAGCAGTGGCCCTGGAACTTGTGCCATCCACGGTCACAGCCCTCTGTGTCTGAGAGGTGGCAAAGAAGTATGAAGGGTGCCTGACCTTGGTCTCAGGTCTACCAGGCAGGAGCTGAGCCAGCCCACCAGACAGAGGACCCAATCCAAGATTTCCCCAAGCCAGGCCCCTCCTCCTAAGGCTTTGTGCCCCTCCCCGCAATGCTTTCAGCTTCCAAGTTAACTTCTTTGTTGCTGGACAAGATTTAACTGGAAGATCATTATACCCCACCCCCTCTCCCTCCAAAGCTGAAGTCTCCTGCTCTGATTTTTGGGGCCAAACTCTCTGTGTAGACACAGACACTCAGGAAACTTTCTCAGGAAGACTTAAAATTTCCCTCCTGGCAACAAGCTTGAATAGACATTTCTCCAAAGAAGATATACAGGGCGCCAGGCACTATGGCTCACACCTGTAATCCTAGCCCTCTAGGAGGCTGAGGCAAGCGGATTACCTGAGCTCACAGGTTGGAGACCAGCCTGAGCCAGAATGAGACCTGGTTTCTTTTTCTTTTTTTTTTTTTTTTTGAGATGGAGCCTCAAGCTATCCCCCTGGTAGAGTGCCATGGCATCATGCTCACAGCAACCTCCAACTCCTGGGCTCAAGCGAGTCTCCTGCCTCAGTCTCCCAAGTAGCTGGGACTACAGGCGCCCGCCACAACGCCTGGCCATTTTTTGGTTGCAGCCATCATTGTTGTTTGGCGGGCCTGGGCTGGGGATTCGAACCCGCCACCTTAGGTGTATGTGGCTGGCGCCTTAGCCACTTGAGCCACAGGCGCCGAGCCCTGGTTTCTTAAAATAGCCAGGTGGCTCAGCGCCCATAGCACAGGGCTTATGGTGCACAGCGCCCATAGCACTGTGGTTATGGTGCCAGCTATATACACCAAGGCCGGTGGGTTGGAATCCAGCCTGGGCCAGCTAAACAACAACTGCAACAAAAAATATCCAGGCATTGTGGCAGGTGCCTGTAGCCCCAGCTACTTAGGAGGCTGAGGCAAGACAATTGCTTAACCCAACAGTTTGAGGTTGCTGTGTGCTGTGATGCCATAGCACTCTACCAAGGGTGACATAGTGGGGCTCTGTCTCAAAAAAACATTAAAAATAAAAAAGTAAATATGGTTGGGTGTTGTGGTGGGCACCTGTTAGTCCCAGGTACTTGGGAGGCTGAGGCAAAAGAATTTCTTGGAACCCAAGAGTTTGAGGTTGCTGTGAACTAGGATGCCATGGCACTCTACCAAGGGCAACAAAATGAGACTATGTCTAAAAAAAAAAGATACAAATGGCCAACAAGCACATGAAAAGATGATCAAGGTCATTAATCATTAGGAAATGGAAATCAGCTCGGTGCCTGTGGCTCAAGTGGCTAAGGCGCCAGCCACATACACCTAAGGTGATGGGTTCGAACCCAGCCCGGGCCTGCCAAACAACAATGATGGCTGCAACCAAAAAATAGCCGGGCGTTTGTGGCGGGCACCTGTGGTCCCAGCTACTTGGGAGGCAGAGGCAGGAGACTCACTTGAGCCCAGGAGCTGGAGGTTGCTGTGAGCTGTGATGCTATAGCACTCTACCCAGGGGGATAGCTTGAGGCTCGGTCTCAAAAAAAAAAAAAAAAAAGGAAATGGAAATCAAAACCACCTTGTGCTATCACTTCACACTCACTAAGATAGTGATGATTAAAGAAAGGAGTGGGGGCTCAGCAGCCACATACACCTGAGCTGGCGGGTTTAAATCTAGCCTGGGCCCACCAAATGACAATGACAGCTGCAACCAAAAAAATAGCTGGGCATTGTGGTGGGCACCTGTAGTCCCAGCTACTTGGGAGGTGGAGATAGGAGAATC